ACTTTTTAACGATTTGAAACACGAAACTTGCGTATTTGCAATTTATTTTAACTACGATTCCCCATGACCCCGACTGTTGCAAAGAATCCGAAACATCGAGCCATAGTTAAAATAAGATCGCTAATGTATTTCGTGTTTTAAACCGTTGAAATAGTTTTTTTACGTGTACTACTTGCGTAAATTACAGACAATACTAAGCACAACATATGTATATTAATACTGATCAAAGAAATAAATATTACGAAAACCTGTATAACACAATGTTTTTCTCAAACTCAAACTAAATCCTATAACAATATAGCTAATTGTGCGCTAACAATACGATTTTGAACAATTTTTCTAGCCATGTTTAGCAACGGATACGAGCCATAAATTATACGCTAGCCTGATTTACAGCCGCCGACTAAATGTTTGATTTGTGCCCGTAAATCGAGATGAGCGTTTCAGCTGTTCGCTTCATCCTTCTTTATATTTACGCTTAGCACTCGTGTAAGAAAGCAAAAAAGAAAGCAGAAAACTCTTGGGTACAGTTTTTTCTATCAACTTTAGCGGTAAAAATATTATTAAAAAAAATTACTACGACCAGTAACTTTTCTACGTATAATTAAACCTCAAACGTAGTTAAACATTGTCTTTTAACCCGTTAAACTAACTAACTGCAATTTTATGTCTTGACTTATTTATACTTTCATAGGCTAAAATGTTAATCTACAAGAGCACAGTGACCGAAAATTGTTAATATAATTTTAATACAAGTAATAGTACAAATTCATTTTCGCCTAAGTTTTCGCATTTTTCTTCTCCTCCTTATTGAAAATATATTTTTTTGTTACTAGGCCACTCTGTCTCTAGCACCCTCATATACCATATTTTCAACTTTCTCTTTTATTGTTTTAATATTCCTGTCAACGCCCATGCTGACAATAATTATAATATAATATTTCAGACATACGTACAGCTTCAAGTTTAAACAAAAGGAAACTCAGTTTAATTGCAAGTTTCAGTACCAACTTGTTTAGCGACTCGGCAAGCTTAATTCAAACCTACTTATGTGAAAGGACGATAACGCTTAGCTCTGTAACTTCAAGTGCTATAATTCAGTTATTCTTGATAGCATTGTCTTGTTATTACTTCTAGGTATAAAATTATAAAAAAGTAAATTTTGTTAAATAATAAGCTGCATGTTAATTAATAAATTCGTTTCAAAGCGTTAAAGTTTTTATTTAAATGTCTACTTGATGCACACAACAGAATTGAATAAAAAAATTACTTACTTATGTTACTTACATACTACTAATACTACTTACATACATACTGAGTCTTGCCAATGTCAGTACTATCTTAGTTACAATAAAATATTTTAAATCTACTACCAGGTCTCAATTATGGGTGTAGAATCAACTGGTATGAAATAGCTTTTTGTCAACTACCATGGGGACTGTGGGGGCAAGTGGCTCCTGATGGAAAGTAATTTCCGCCTCCCATAAATATCAGTAACACTAATGATGAAGTTGGCGATGTGTTGCCGGTCTTGTAAATAAGAAAACATATAAGAATCTTAACCTTTTAAAGCATATGTAATTCATGCGGCAATAACACAATAATTAATTGCCGCTACCCACTACGTCGTCCGCGTCTTGTCGTGCTTGCGAGTTAATCTTAGAAAATAGACATATAAACTATCGTGGATATTAGATTTTTAAAGAAGAATTTTTCTTTAGTACGTAGTTTTTTGGCCCTCTAAGATGAATAATTTTCTCGGTTTTTCCTCATTTCCTTACGTTCCTATGCTCCTATTCGCAGCGTGATGTTATATAATCTAAAGCATTCTTCGATAAATGGTGTACAAAACGAATAGTTCCTTAGATTAGCGCGTTCAAACAAACAAACCTTTCAGCTTTATTATATTAGTATAGATATAAATAATACCAGAATTACCATTATCGCCAAAACCCCGCGCCACTATTGTTGACTCGAATTTAGGTGACGTTTGAATTCAAAAGCGCTAAACGGCGGATTTATCGCGTGTTTCCGATTTAAATCGGCAAATTAACGGCGTCGCGCCCACGCTCGCTTCTATCTGTTATTTATTTGTTCCATCGGCTTTACCTATTTTTTGCGCATTTTGCATAGTTATTATCTAGGATGTGTTTAACGGTGTGATAGATTTTTGATACTATAACTTTAGTTAACCCTTTAGTGCGCTTTTATTTTGGTTCTACGAGATTCACACCCAGTATATCTTAGTCCATGTATCATATAAGATGCGTTTAACCATTAGATAGTTTGTAGATAGTATAACTTGAGTTAGCCCTAAGAACAGGTGCACTACTGAAGTTTCAGTAGTCAGACACATGTACCTGGATCGTCCAAAATTGTTTCATATGTAAATACTGTCTGTAGTTTCCTCACATTTAAATAAAACACTTTAACGGTTTAAAACGCGAAACAGATTTAAGGTAAAATAAATTAAATATAAGTGATCTTATATATTATATAGCGTTTATACCGTTAAAAGTGTTCAATTTAATCGTAATATGTCTATACTTAAATGTAACCGATGCTCTAACAGCCCTAGTACAGAATAATTAAAACATTATAAAGTTTCGAATTCTCCATACAAACGCATCTAAAAGCTAATATAATATTTATAGCTTCGGTTCAGAGCAAGGGCTCCGCTTTTTGTTCGTTATTTATGACACCACAGATATCGATAGCTCGGAGTGGTATCATGAAATATTAAACGCATTACAACTGGCATATAGGCCGAAAGATGAGGTAAGAAAAACGATTACATTTCAACTCTGGATCGAAATAATCTAAGGACATGCAACTCTCTAATTCCATAATTTTTCAATGGTAATATATCAAATAACTATATATTAGTCGAGAATCCACACCAACAGGGCTTATATTGGAAATCTTAAATGGTAAACGTGTTTATTTCAAATTCTAAAATGTATAATAATAAGTAAAATGAAACACTTTAACGGTTTGAAACGGGGAAACACCGTGACCACGACTGCTGCAAAGCATCCGAAATGTCGTGTAGTTAAAATAATTTTCAAAAGAGGTTAACTAAAATATATTGCGTTTTAAACCGTTAATTTTATTAAGCAGTAAGTAAATATTAAGTTGTTAGATTTATATTTGGCGGTAAAGAATTAGATTTTCTGCATTTCAAGAGCACAACATACTTTGTCACGTGAATAATTTTAAAGTATGCATGTCTTATCCATATTATTATATTCCTCACTAAACTAGCAAACTGTAACTGGCAGGAACAGCAATAGTATCTCGTTTACGAATCACACAAAAGTTTATTCGTTCGCTTTTATCGCGAGCAGTGAGGGCGCGTTAAAGAAAATGATTTATACCATTTATCATAAATAACTTATTTCTGCTCTTTGCGTTCACTATTCTGCAAACATTCACTTTAAGTGTGATTTACAGGAAATTGCATTAGAATCTTATTTTAAATATTGAAAACAAAACGATATTCTGAAAAACCTTGTACGCTTTAATTTAGGTAGTTAGTGCTTTAAGAATGAATGAATGAGTATCAACTAACTTATACATTGAATTAATCCAAGTTTCATTTCAGTGAATAAAATACGAAAATATATATATTTATATTTTATATTCCCCGTTTCCCGTCGTGGGGCATGTGGGGCGAACACATTTCTGTGTCCGTTTCACTGATCCGTTCTTTTAACGGGCAAGTAGTTGATCAGACTTCTGTGCCCTGCCTGACCGAAACAATTTTTTGTTTCCCCGGGGATTCGAACCCACGACCTCTCGTGCATAACGCAATGCTAGGCAATACGTTTAACCGTTTGGCTACAGAGGCGGTCATTAAATTTTTAGTTTTACTAATATAATAGTTATTGCAATTTTAAAATCATCATATTACCGGATTTTCCACAACATTCCCCAACAAAGGCCGCCCTACGAACTTTAATACTCGCATCGATAAGGCGAGTCGAAGAGTCCCTCGCAATATTTCTTGTATTATTTTAATCTACATATTATTCCAATAAGTGGGTTTCCCGAGCCAATATTGCGCTCCGGAGTAAAGTAGCCGACCCTCAGAATTGAGTAACTTTTTACCTTTTATTGTTTTATTTATAACTTTGTGATTGATGATGGCTCTGGAGTTGCCTTCATAAATATGAAGCGGGCGCGAACTATGCTGTAGTTTTCTTAACCTTTTATTAAATTATTGGTGAGCTGTTGTGTACGAAACTTGTTAAAAGCGATACGGTTTAACTACCGGCGATAAGCTCAATGATAACTATATAAAGTATAATTAAAGTAAATGATCAATAAAGTTATATTCGAGGATCGTGCCCGGGGACCACAAATAGTGCGTTATCAGCAACAATCAACAGGAAATCCGTGCCACTGACGATGTTCGTTCCGCGCTCGACAATTCAATTTGCATACACGTTTATCGCTATTGTTTTGTACTTTTCTGCACTGTAAAAAATCAACGGTCCACTAAAGATTTAAAATGCAAATTTCATAATGTTTACGCTCATATTGTATATTGACAAATTTAAAATATATTTTTACATTTAAATAAAACACTTTAACGGTTTAATCGCGACATATATAGCCGTGGTCACAGGGTGGCTATTGCAAAGTATCCGAAACATCGGATAAGTTTAACTAATATCTATCGCATTTGAAACCGTTAAAGTGTTTTATTTAAACGTGTACTACTCGCGTAAACTACAGACAGTATTACATTTTTACATTAATATTTCCACAATGACATCTTTGCATGTACTTAAAGTATCTACTATATATGTATTCTGAATTCTTTCTAAATCTGTTACCTGATTTCAGACCTTTACAAACGGCCAGGTATTAGGAACAAATGACGTACCCGTTTCAACAATAGAGCTTCGGCTATGATAAGGCGTCGTATCTTTAAACGGGTCCATAAAGTGGCATTTACAAAGAGACGTCCATGCGGCCCGACGGGCGATAGCACAATGCGGCAAACGACGATGGCGCATCCGGTTCCGGCCGCGGCGCCACCGTCGCCTAGATTTATGCGCGCCGTTTCCTCTCGGCATATGCGTGTCTACCCTTCTTCATTTACACAAAACTCGAGTTTTTCAAGCACCTGCGTTGTATGAATGTCGTGCCGGATGTGGGCTTTTTGCTACTCGGTGGCGGTTTAGCATTTTCTATATATTTATTGAGTTTGAAACCTTTTTTATGATGTTGTTTATATGATTTTAAAGACAAACTGTTGTAGCTTTTTGCCGCTTGTTCCAGTATTGAAATAATGAAGAGTGCGTTGTTTAAGAATCACATTAATATATATTGTATTTTAATCTTCGTCAACGAAGATATGTGAAACACAGTTACATCCTAACGCGTCTTAAGATAGAATGAAAAGGTGTGTCTTCTAAAATGAAATTTAATTTTAACTACACTATTTATGTTATATTATGTATGATATAATGTAATCAGTACTATTATATTATTGAAATTGACCTGTATTCTTCAATTAATAAACGACCCTTACTTAACGAAAACTTTTCAAGGGTATAAGTAATATAGATTGGATTTGGATAGGCTTAGTCTGTAATATTGTATAATATAACATAAGTGCTATATGTTATATGTTGTGTATCAGATCTTACGTATGGGGAAGAAGAGAAAGGAATAGGAATCTCGTGCATAATAGAGCGTCGGCCGCAAACGTTCGCAGCGTCTCGGAATATCTTAGCAGTTCTACCGCTATCACATCATCCTGAAACGTGCGGCTTTGCTGCGGCGAATATTGCGTGAAATTAATTAATCGTAATTACACTATCGTAACGCAGATACTGTTTACAATCGACACTTTATTACAGTATTATGAATGTATTCTTTTTTGTGGGAACTCGTAAATATAGGAGGTAAGTTCCACAAACGCGATGTCTTTCGAATAGTTTATGATGAATTTGTATCTAGAGAGATAAGATATATAATAGACATAAAGATTATAAACCATTACATGATTTTAACCTGTTAGTACACAATCTTTTTATAGTATAATAATAAATTATTATAAGGAAAAATCGTCGTAGAAAACCCGCAACGGAGCTAAGCAAAGTTTGATATAAATTTTGTACAATAAACCTTAACTGACGTTAACTTGGAATCTTTGTCTGATGCTCACGTGGGGGCAGGTATGAGGTGAGATGGGGTAAGGTGGAATTCCAACTAGCTTTGTGAATCAATCAGGAATTAATTGCGGCCCCTACAACTTGAGTGGAGTTGAATGATTTGTGAACTAGGTATTAGATTTCAGTTTTATTTTTAGAGAGGTTGATAAAAATAGTTACATCAGCCTGGCACAATGGTTAAAAGCATTGCCTAGCATTATATAAAGTGGGAGGAGGTCAGCGGATGCGGATTCCGCGAAAATTATACACTATTTTAGTCCAAGGGGGCTTAAGTGTGTTAGCAATCAAAATCGGTGTCTACAACAAGAGAAATCGTATTTCAGAATAAAAAAGTCAAAATTTAAGTGTGTTTACGCTCAATTAAAGTATTTTTATGTTTAAGTAAATTTAATAAGTAGAATGATCTAATATTATAAAAAGGCGCCTTATAAATGTTTTCCAGTGTGAAAATTTGACTTCCCTTTATCGATCTAGTGTCTAGATTCTAGACGTATGTATTACAAATATTAATAATAATCTCCCCTTAATTTAATTACATAATGACAATTTACAAGACAAATGCGAGTTATGTAAGTGAAACGGGGCGTTCCTAACATTGGAAGTTGAAAAGCCGAAACTTTACAACTGTGCAATTGTTTAGATATTCGAAACGGTAGACCAACGTCAAAGGAAAAGTTTCAAGCGGCTCGCAATAAACCGTTTGTTCTGTGAATGTTTCATGATTTCGAATAACAGGCCAATTAATTCGACAGGAATTACGATTAATTACTTTCGTACTAAATAATTATGAAGTTTTGGCTAATAATCAACCATATAATCAACAAACAATAAAGTTTAAATACATCCTTAACAGTTTCACAAATCGTTTAAAAGTTATATACAATTAGTTACAAGTTACATAACAATGATAAAGAAAAAACAACATCGATAAAAGTAACAGATAATAAAACAAATATTATATGAAAGTTAAAAAACGAATAAACTTAATTAATTAATATATTCTAAATAATCCTAATAACGTAAGGATTCTCTTGTGTATAGACTTACACTGGAATCCAGACTATCAAATCAAATTTACCTTAGTTAGTTGGGTATCAGATGGCGAGGAAGCATACCTTCAGTCAAGAGCCACTTCGGTGGATATATGCTACGTCAGACAGACTTTAACTCAAAGGCATTTCTCGTAATAAATAACTTACAAAGGGTTTACTGTAAGCTATTTAATATATTTATTTACTTTAAAAAATATTAAAGTGTACTTACTATAGCTATACATAACTACAGACTATTATATATTATATTTTTATTTTAGAATGATAAGCATTCTTTAAATATTAATAAAAAATTTAAAGGAATATTGATAATGTCTTTTACAACAAAAATAAATTATTATTATTTTGACGGCCTCGTAGGTCTAATGGTAAAAATGTATGGCTTATAATCTGAGGGTCTTGCGTTCGACCCCCAGCAGGTCCAACTTATATCCAATTTAAATACTGTCTTTAGTTTACGCGAGTAGTACACATTTAAATAAAACACTTTAACGGTTTAAAACGTGATGTTTATATTATATGTTCAAATAAATTTAACTAAAATATATTCCGATTTTAAACTGTTAAAGTGTTTTATTTAAATGTATCTATTTTTTCAATTTATAGTTCAATTAATAGTTCGTCTGGAAAACTGTATATGGAATAAAAAATAAAACTAAGATATCATATTGATACAATATAAATATTATAAATACAGAAAGAAACGTGCAAAATAAGCCTTAATAAGAAATAATAGTAAAGTCTAAAGCCTAAAGCCTTCTAAATTAGTTTTACGATAATTAAATTGCTCCGGAAGCAAATTTACACTTTTTTTATTATATATTTATATAACTTATATACGTACTGTATTTAATAACAAATTATGCAGAAGCTCCAACATATTTAAATTAAACCTTCTTGTGACATATGTATATTCTCAGCCACCACCATACATCACAGGATCTTGACTTAGATAATTGCTTAAGTGGGATCTCAGTTAGCCCTCAGCTCCCTTGTAAGTTGGGCCTTTCACAGCCCTACTTCTGTAGATAAGCATAGTTTATAGATGGGATTAATTCTACAGTTTGGATTATTAAGAATATAATAGTTAGAACGAACGAGAAGAACTGGCACGGAAGTCTTGTCTGACAAAATTTGTAGATTACTAGATTGAAGGACGTAAAGTAAAGAAAAATGAAACAAACACACATTCGTATTTATAATATTTCTAAATTTCTTACACAATATATGAGCATTTGAAACGTCGGGTCACAGTTTCAAATGCTTTAAAATATGTGTCTTAATTGTTTAGATGGGTTTATAAAATATGTTCTTTTTAGTCGCGTTAGTTACTAACGAACCTTTTTATATGTTATACAAATACTCATATGTAAGAGTAGATTTATGAAAATCCTTATAACTTCTCATGTTGCTCACTTTAGCAGCAGATAAACATGTTGAATATTTAATCGTGTGTTAATTGCTGAAACAAAGTAAGGCACACGTGGAAGAAACTTGAAAGAGGGTTTTAGATTCTCAACGTCTCCGCTGTCTTAGCACATTAACAATTCACATGTTTTTGTTGCAATGTTTAAAAGAAGGCTTCATTTAGTACACATGAATATTTATTACTTAAGTCAAGCCAGCTTTGAAACAAAGAAATTATGAATATATTACTTATTGAATAAGGAATGGTTTAAATAAAACACTTTAACGGTTTAAAACGTTAAAAATCATTTTCAAATAAGTTTAACTAATATATCGCGTTTTAAACCGTTAAAGTGTTTTATTTAAATGTGTACTACTCGCGTAAACTATAGACAGTATTTAAGGAATGGTTTGCTAGTTTTACGTAGTATTTGAAGTGAAATATTATCTACGTAGAAATTAAACCTATCTGCACGCATATATTTGGGTCAGAGTAAAACAAAAGCTAGACTAAAGCACATAATACATAAGGCCGTAGTTAGAATGAATTAAATTAGGTTTGTTGAAATATTTCGCGTTTCAAAGTATTAAAAGTACATAATTAATATTATTTAAGCATCTGCAGACTTGAATAACATTCACGGCTCAGTACATTCACGATTATCAAGTAAGATATGTATATCTTAATTAAACTCATAGTATCAAATATAGCCTTATAAATTACCTGAATCCCGAACGATATAATTCAGTACACGTCTCCTAACGAATATTGATACGGCCTCCAGAAAGCCAATCCGCAATAATTTTCACTCAAATCTGACGTAAACATGACCGATATTCTCAAGCAATTTGCATGTCCGTTGCCTCCTGAATAATTTAGAGGCACCTGCCCGAAGGTTCAGCCTCTATGAATATGTAAGACAATGGCTTCCAAATCTTAAACTCCAATTAGAAAGGGGGTCATTAAACCCGTGCTTGATTACATCTGCATCTGTACAAGGAATTGTTAATAGTAGCATGAATATTCACCAGCTAATAAAGTATTATCATCAAAAATGTACGACCTGAGTATCCCATAAATTCGTTTTTTCGAAAAGAGAACATGACAGAATCATGTGTTTTGTAGTCTGTACTTTATGCGAGTAGTAGACATTTAATTAAAACAGTTATTATACATAACGTCATCCAAAACTCGAGCGGTAGAAAAAATATGTTGCAAATGAGTTAAATAATACACATTTTAAACCGTTGAAAGTGTTTTATTTAAATAATTATGTATTAAAACAAAAACAACCCTGTCATAAATGTTTATCAGACAAACATACAAAAAATAGTGCTTGCATTAAATATGTTATTTTTATTATATTTTGAACTAGCCTAAATAAAAAATAATCATATGACTAAAATTATGTATAAATTTAATTGATACATTATTATATCTATACTAATATTATAAAGAGGAAAGATTTGTATTTTTGTATTTAACGGATAAACTCAAAAAGTACTGGACCGATTTTAATAATTCTTTTTTCATTAGAAAGCTACATTATCACTGAGTAACATAGGCTATTTAGTACTTGATTACTATAGACATCTATACAAATTCTTACTAAAACCAACGGAAGGCGTAAAAAATTACCCGTAAAATGTCTTTCTTCACATACGCTGCAAAAAGTATTCATGATAGGACAAATTATAGAATATATCAATATCTACAAAAAACATCGCAACAGCACGAGTCTAACTATTGTAGTTACGTCGCTATAACTAATTTTTTTACATTTAACAAATTAATAGAAATGCCGATCAAAATCAGACCGTGTTATCCATACCATTTATAATTTTTTATCCAAATAAATAAATTAATATTCAAGACTGCCTCAATATCTGCTGATTACTTTTACTACCTTTTCATATCTTTATCATGAAATTAAAATAAAAATACATGCCGACGGCGGCCGCCACGCCGCGTATCGAGTAACTAATTCGACGATAGAGGGGCAGTGGGCTCCTCACGCAGTGGACGCGAACGACATTGAATATTTCGAGGTTTTTCAACATTTTTATGCTTCACTTAAAAAGTCCTTTAATAGCTACTTAGTTTTAGTATTAGGAATCACATTTTGCCTAATGTTTGTCAAAGTTCTTTTCAGAACTATCG